TCATAGATGTTGAAAAGCAGAAGACAAAAATAAAGAAGATCAAACTAAAACAGAAAAGAAAAATTCAACTAACAAAACTCAAAAAATAACCCAAATTCATCAAACAAAACTCAAAAAATAACCCCCTAGCAGCATAGAAATGACTCCATTATCCAATGTTAGAAAGGCACATGCACAAGAAGACCATAGATAGATTTGAGGTGAGGAATTTACGGCGAGTGCTTAACAGTAAATCAGCTCTCTCTCCTCCTTAGATGTGCTTCCATTTCTAAATCAATTGAACTTTTGGATTCATTATTTTTGACTTTTTTTTTTTTTTTTGTCTTCAGCTGACTGCACCATGTGGCCCAATCAATGAGTCTGTGCTCTATCTTTATCACTTCCTGGCGTAAAAAATAATAAAAAATTGCCACCATTCAATATAAGTGTTAATTTATTTGTAGTAGTTAATACTAGAAATGCTTTACTGTCCACTGTACGGTCTGCAATTTTCTCAAATATGGATAATATGATTAAAATTGGAGTAAAATTAATTTATTTATTTTAATTCCGATCATGCTTTTATTAAAAATAGCATAATTATTCCTTGGGATTCGCACTGCTCCATTGACTCGAACAACTGAACATCCACGTATACGATCTCACATCCCCCAGAATCAGAAGAAAATATATATAGGAAGAATTTACATATATACCACAGTATTCTTATGTATTTAAATAACTAGCACCTATCCTTTTAAATTTATATTTATAGCACTGAAAATTTTAACTTCACATAAATTTTACTATCTTTATTAACTTCTGAAAATAACTATTTTTTAATACATCTATTTATGATACCAAAGTATTATAAATTCAAACATATATTAAATTTTAGTGTTATATATATATATATCAACATAGTTAATTAGATTACGAGTAACAAAGCATCACCAGCAATTTTTTTCCTTCCTAATTAAGACCTACAACATGGACTAAAATCAGCGAGTAGGTGAGGCAAGCCAATATAATAAGAATCCACCTCAGCGACGTGTCACTCTTAAGACAACCTCACAAATTCAACACCTTTACCAAACTTACAGTCCATGACTTTTGAACGTATGTACACCCGACATGACCGGGGAAGGTCAACAACCTTCACTATGGCGAGGGCGAAGAGTGACTGTTCTGAAAATAACTCCTTACTGGATCCATCTCCACCATCTCCTCATCATCGCCACCACCCCCTCCCTCAAAAAGCCCCAATTCTTCCTCCAAATACGTCAACCACCGCCTTCTTTCCTCCGCGACCGCCGCATCGTTCTCAAGAATTTCGTCAATAGAATCGTTGATGTCGACATCGGGCAGGCTCCAGGCGTCAAAATAGTCGGGGAGATCGAGTGTGTTGTGTTCGATGGAGGCGGAGGTTGCTTCGGAGGAGGAGGAGCTCGGTGTGTCTAGCGCGATCACCGGTGTTGGGGAGGATGAGAATTCTTCGTTTGACTTGAATCGTTTTTTAAGATGAGTGTTCCACACATTTTTGATCTCGTTGTCGGTTCTTCCGGGAAGGGAGGAGGCGATTTTGGACCATCTGCAGGAGTATATATTTGAGCATGATTGCATAAATTTATACTTTATAGGAAAAGACAACTTGGGCTTACTTGTTTCCGAGCAAGTTGTGGAGCTTGATGATGGTGTCTTCCTCCTCAGCACTAAAATTGCCCCGTTTGATATCAGGGCGGAGATAGTTGATCCAACGGAGACGGCAGCTCTTCCCACATCTGAGCAACCCTGTAAATTTATATTTGAAGATGAAAAGCAATGCGAGTTAATATTTGCTAGTTTCTTTGCCAAGGGATAATATATGTAATTGGAGAGGGAGAGGGTTGATGATGATGACGACCTGCTTGTTTAGGGAGGGCTCGCCAGTTTCCATGGCCATACTTGGTGATATAGGCGATAAGTCTCATATCTTCTTCCGGCGTCCATGCTCCTCTGTTTAGTCCAACTTTCTCGCAGCATGGAGCTCTGCCTCTCCCCATTCTCCCACCAGCTCTCTTGCTATCTATTGTTTTCTTTTGACCTCCGAAGAATCTACATATTATATATATATAGTCAGTTGAGAAGATTATGGCACGTTGTTATGTCTAATTAAGAAGCAATACCGAAGAGCTTGGTGGTAATGAGGATGGATGTATGGTATTACGTGCGGGAAGAGGGAGGGAGGAGAAAATAGTTGTTGATGACGAAATATAGCAAATGAATCAAAAAAAGAGTCTAAGATTCTCTCTGCCCACCAAACCGTAATAAAAAAAAAAGGAAGCAAGGAAAAAAAAGGAAGAAAAGGACGGGGTTTATTAATGAGAGGTTGGCAATAGGAGTCATTGTGTTGTTAACCTCATGATTGAAAACCTTCTACCATTTTTCTATGCCAACATCTCAACGAGAGCCGCCTTGCTTTCAATATCTATCTATGTGTGTGTGTGTGCCTATATATATATATATATAT